ATCAGGAATTGATGATCATGTTTTGACTGTCTGGAGCATAATATATTTACTATAGGGAGGAATATATATATATTTACAGTAAAACTTCCATATACTGCCATTATATGTGCAGAGATATTTGATATAAGAAGAGGCCACAGCGGCCAAGTGGCTAAGGCGTCTGACATTCTGCTACCACAAGCCCTCCACCACTGGGTTGCAGGTTCAAGGCCTACGTGGGGCAGTCGCCAGGTACTGGCTGTAGGTCAGTAGTTTTTCTCCGGGAACTCCAGCTTTCCTCCACCACCAAGACCTGGCACGTCCTTAAATGACCATATCTGTTAATAGGACGTAAAACACAAACAAACAAACAAAATTGGCAATACAAAGTGGTATGGCGATAATTTGAGGGAAACATCAAAACGAGAAAATGCAGCTTTAGTTGAAATATGTTGGCAGTATGCAAGGTGGCAAATGGAACAAGGAGCGTTATATTGAGGTTTTACTGTACACATACAAATGTTTCTATTTTTTACCAATATTCAGACAAAATAAATGAACAGGTTTGACTTAGGATGCCATTATGCTAAGAGAAGAGTACACTAGTCCTGATATTATTCAGGATAAATAATGGAGGCACGGTAGTCAAGTGGTAGGACGCTGGGCTAGTGACGGAAGGGTTACGGGTTTGACTCACGGCACAGCACTGTGTTGTATCTTTGAGCAAGATACTTTACTCCGCTTGTTCCAGTCTACTCAGCTGTAAATGAGTATGTGGTTGGGCAGCGCTTTAGAATTGTAGAATGCTAGCTGTTAGCGCCAAAATGGCAGCACCGGCTATATGCTCCCCAGGGAGTTGAGAAAGATATTGGCTAGTTGCAAAGGCCCTATAACCAAGGATAATACCGCTTTGAGGCGACCTACGAATTAGGTGGTGATAAAGCGGTATATAAGAACCTCAAATTATTATTTATTATTATTAAAACTCTGTCAGTCTGTAGACAAATGAAGAAAGGGCTGCTTACTTCTGATTGGACAAAAAACTGGCACACATCATCATGAAACATCTATAGTGGCCATAGCCTACCAACCCTGACATTGGCTGATATACTGAGGTACATTACATAAATACAAAATGTGCTGGCAAGTTTTATTTATCCCCTGATAATAATTGGCAAATCATAAATTTTTCATGGGATGTTTTATAGTATATACTTTTGGCCCATTTTCTCTGTTCCTAATGGACTTGCAGCAGAAAAGATTACATCACTTCATTGTATTGAGCCTTTTTGGATGATTCACTCAGTGTTTGCAAACACGCAAAGCTTCTCCTTTTCTCGTTATCTGTTTTTGATGAGAAATACTGACACCGCTTTTTAACTGAACGTTTTTAACTGTGACTTATTAAATAAGTTGATGGGGGAGAGGGTGGTCGTCTTTTATGTCACACGTACTGTACTGACTTTGAATATGACATAATAGAACCCAATTTATGCTTAAAAATGGACATCATTAAAAATATTTTCAAAAAAAAAAAAAAAAAATGATGTTTCTTTTGTCTTTTGTTTTTTAATTACTGATCCCAGTGTTCCACTACCAATACAAGGTTTGAAAAATTATACACTGAAAAAAACAAAAAAAAACCGAAATTACCATGACTATATATATAGTCAAATTTAGTGAATCATTTCTGAAAAGTAAAAAATAATTTGTTGAACTTTTATGAAAAGTAATAATAAATAAAAAATAACAGTATTCTGAGTGAAAGAATACTACATGATTGGACCATGATTTGAACCCAAGTATCCTTATACTGTCGCTACATATTGAGGTCCCTGCAGGTAGGGCATAAGAATTGTACCTGCTGCCCCCATTGCATGATCGTAAGAGGTGACTAAATTTGGGATCTTATCTTTTCTCTTGTTTCTAAACGACTTTCTTCTTCCTAATGTCTCCCTTGACAATGCCTCACTTTTGGCCTGTAGTTGAGCGTTCGCCCCTTTGAGGAAGACTTTGGGTTCTGTCCCCTGGCCAAGACATACCAGAGTCTGTAAAAATGGTAGTTTCTACTCCTGCTTAACGCTCAGCAATTTAGGAGAAGGACGACTGGTTCCCCCGTTGTCAGTATAATGTGACTGTGTGGGGTGTCCTGCTGGGTGTCTTCGGCAGTGTGTTTTAGTGGGGTAGCACTATAAAGTCGGCATCAGTTCCGCGCTATCACAAGGAGACAAACACGAACATATCGCAGCGTCCCAAAACACACATGCATACACTACACACATGCATCTTGCACACAGGGGAGGCCGTCCTTAAATGACCATAGCTGTTGATAGGACGTTAAACAATACTTAACCAAAAACCAAACCATAGTCAGTATTGTACCTTTCCTAGCCAATCTACAATTATATTGAAAACAAAATTAAGGGGAGGTCACTCTATGTAAGGAAAACTACAGTGGAACTCTCTAGTGTTTCGCTGTAGTGAGACAGGGATCTCTAAATGAAAAAATTAACATCATAATTATAATTGTTGTAAATCACGCAATATTACTTTTTATGTAGCATGGTTTATCGCAAACACACGTTTGACTCAATTCGCTGTTATCTTCCACTGAAATCAAAGCACTTCATCGATGCTGGACTCTGCATCAAATGTAAACAATAGCAGACAGCAGAGCAGTTCTCAAGAGTTCTAAAGTATTCCATAGCACAAAATGTTCAATACATTTTATTGTCGTTCCAAGAAAAATTCAATAATGCTGACATTCATGAACAATGTTTGACAAATCCAGATTCCTTCCACAAATACACATTGTACTGTTGCTGGGTATACGTAACATATTGCAATCTGTTTAAAAAGAAAAGATTTTTTTTTTCCCCAATGGTGGTGATTTTTTTTTTCAATTCCGGAAGCAAGTAATGATTACTTTTCGTATTTAAGATAAGGAAATCATTTTCTTTATGTCAAGAGCTAGTAGAACATATAGCTCAGAAGATATGAATTTCAAGATTTATTAATCAATTTCAACACAATATTCCTCTGTTAGAAACAAATTGTTTTGTCAATATACATCTGTTCATTCATACTCAGAACTGTATGTTGGCTATTCTTGAAGACACAGAAAATATATGAAAGCCAATACATGGAGCGTTTTATCAGTACATGTATTGTTAAAAATTGTATTGAATTGGTTTCGGTGAACTGTATTGAATTTTCACTTCAACAGTCTAGTGATGCAGTTGCAGAATTTAAGAAGAAAAAAAAAGTTGATAGGGTTGTATCATTTCCCCTAGGAAACAGTTTCCTAGGCCTGCAAATTGGATTTTCAAGAAAACCAAACACAGACTTGAATTCAGATAAAGTTATAGCACATTCACTTAAGGACACAAATGCAAATGTTGATTTGATCATGAAGCAATACCTAAAATGTTTTTAGAGATTCAACACACATTTTCCCAGATATTTAGAGTCAAAACCGGTATATATCTTCAAGCACAAAAAGTTCACAAATCTACACCTTGTTGCTGAATGGTGCTGGTTGTCATACACTCACACGTACAAGGTCACTGATACTCTAAAGAGAATTTGGTCTTCTCTATTATTCTACGTCAGAAAACAACAAACACATCTGTACGTTTGCCTGACTAGCCTGTCGCGTGCAGTAGACAGAGTTTAATGAGTGTTGCACAACATTTGCCTATTACATGTACAACCATACACCCTTAACACAATATTTTCGCATCCTTTTCCAAGTTTTCCTTCTCATACATTATAAAAATCCTATCCGTATAGCAGATATCAAAAATATTTCTCTGAAAAGAAACCCAGCGAGCCACCTTACCTGAATCCCTTCTGGGACTACAGGAGGTGCACCAGACCTGAATGCATTAGGCTTCAAAAATTCTGGGATTTTACAAAAACTGTACTGCTTCTAACACTGCCATACGGAAACACAAACAAAACTGACCTGAACCTAATCTTAACTTCAAAACTTCTTTAAACCTATGCTTGAAAATTATTCAGAGTACAAAACAAAAATTATGACGTGTTACTGCGACCGACGTGCTAGAAAAGTGACGTACCTACCCGCGTACCATCGACTCCCACGACAATGCACGTGCCAACACTCTGATTGGCTGACCAGACCTGACTCAGTCCACCCGTAATTCCACCCCTGACTAATATGTACCGACAAGACAAATAATTCCCATTATTACTTCGAAACGCGGGAATATTTTAGTGTCATCATTCTACAGATTTCTTTCTTAACCAATTGTCATGTCATCTTTGAAAATATCGACTCTTGTTTGAGATTTATTTAAAAAACAAATTCTTTCTAACTGCAAAATAGAGCTTGTGCCATTATTTCTTGATAGACTATTGAAACTTTAATGCATTTCATGAACATTACCCCTGATGTAAGTTCATGTTTCAATGTTTCTCAACTCATTCACCCCTGAAATTTCATAATGAACTATTCCAACCTTTGATTTGGAAGAGTTAAAATGTGTCTTCAGGGGTGAATGAGTTAAGTTGCTCTATACAATTATAATTTTTTGATCCTTCCTAAGATCATTTCTTTTCTGTGATGTCTCGTTTAAGTTAGATTTCAGAAAATATTGTCAGAGTGGGTATAGATTTCTTGGAAAGAATAATCATACTAGAACAGCTGATATGTAAACTAGGAAATTCTTGCTGAAGTTTAACTTTTGCCATTTTTGTCGCTCCATAACGAGGTCGAATATATCCTGAGAGAAAATATTAAAACACAAGATACTTAATAAAGTCATTTCAAACGGTGAAAGGCAATCAACATTGGGCAAATATGGCTTATACCAGTGAAGGGTTAAAGTTTGACTTGGCCGAAGTTTCCCGGTATACAGTTTATTTGTTATGTTATTGTAATAGGTTGTGTTAATTTACCAGCACAATACATTTATTGATATCAGGGGCTATGGGACAATGTTTTAATATTGAAATCATTAATGACGGCCGTATCTTTTCTCTCTTTTGTCTGGCAGGTTGCAATCGGCTGAGAGGAGGGATATATTGATTGATTGTTAAAGGAATTGTCAGACCATTCTCCAGTACATTACTAACAGACCACCTCCCCACCGTCAGACAGACAAACCCTGTATGGCTCCGGCACAGACAGACAGAGCCGGTCACCCTATGTCTAATTGATCCAAAACATCACTTGATCACAAGGAGACGCACAGATTTGGACAACACACTGCAAGAACATTTATACCATTACTGCAATAAGACAACAAGCCAAGAGTCAAAATTTCCAATAAGACAACAAGCCAAGAGTCAAAATTTCATCACAGATGAAAAATCTCAACAATTGGATGTATTTTATCAAAGGATATGTGATTTGAAAATCAGCTGATGGATTATTTTAGGATCTAAGTTGCACGTAACTGGATTTCTGGGATATTTCTTATAAGCCAGTGCAGTTTGTTATCTAGGAATTAACACTGACATATTCTGATGGGAAATGAAAAGGTGTTACTCCAGGAAATTTTACTTCATATTACAGATGCATGATGACAAAATCAACTGTATACACAAAACAGTAAAATCAATCAACAAGCTGTGATTTCTGTTGGAGGAAAAAATATTGGATTGTAGAATTGTCGCTGATATCGGAGTAGGAATTCTGAAAGCAAACTGCATTTAGTCACCATAGCAAACGTGGCGTGATCGCCTGGCTATTTTTGTGCTGTATTTATTAAAACCAGGAAATAATTGAGCTGTTCGCTTTCTAAAGAGCTACCAGCGTGCGTTACAGCTGGACTCTGTAATGATGAAGAATTTATCTGGCAGAAACTGATGCCGTTGTCTTTAGAACGCAAGCTTATGACATCACAAGCCTCATCAAATTCTGCATCTTGGATTGTAGCTCCCAGGACGACAGTGGTTGCAGCTGCTGAATCGAGGCCCAGGTCAAAAAGGTCAAGCCACACTCCAGAACATCAGGCTCAGGCCTCACCCCATACTGTCAGGTAAGCACAGCACACCTGTTAATGTCAAGTCCGCTCCCTGTGGGGATGATACAGGGCTAGATATATATTATATAGAAGTACCTGATGTAAACACCTGTAGGGATATTTCTTACCTGTAATAAGGACGTTACACATCTGCTGCAATGTGTCTGATATCCATAAATAGAACTACAAGCTGTCAAAGAGGGCTATATCTCGGCTGCATTCTTGCATAACAGTTCTTTACTTATCTAGCTGCGGTATCAAATATTTGATGTGCTTTTCCCTTTGAAATCGTCACCTACCTGTCGTAAATATTGATCGATATGTTAGCCATTTTTATGGTGTGATGTCATTTTATGCCAGCGAAAGCATACTTTCACTGATAACATACTAAGTATGGATAGTTCTGTCCATTTGATAGCACTGATCTTAGATATAGGTAGGTACCTAAACAGGGATTCTGGGAAATACAGATTTTCATGTTAATTTCCTTGGAGACTTAATTTCACATGAATTCAAATATTTTTTGGATATTGATCAGACACATGTAAATGAGATATGTTCAGGGTTTAATTTTCTCAAAACCTGTTTTAAGATTGGTTCAGTTGTCCTATCAGAGGACATTGGAGATACAATTATGTTTTTGTGCAGTATATAATGCTTTTGTCACCCCTGTTCAAAGTGGCCCCAACATCTGTGGGCACATGCATGGTCATATATGACTTCAGCTGGTGTAGGGATTTAAAATTACAGTCAATTGATAGATCATTAAAATTATGACCTTCACGGGTGAAAGTCAATGACTGATTCAAGTTACGTCCGAAATGCTTCTTCAGAAGTAGAAGAAATGATTTAAAAAATTATGACTTCTCAATGACTCGTTGAATCGATGATGTCATAATAGCTGAAGGTCACAATCACAAGACATCAAATCATGTCCTGAGCAAAGTCTCTCCCATCAGCATTTTCTCTGGATGTTGCAACCATACGGGAATTTTGTCCTCACCCAAGATTCTATATTTCAAACTTTTGAAAATTAAAAAAAAAAGATGTTAATCATAAAAAATTTGTTGATTATATTAGGTTTTGATTGGACCTTGATTGAGCCTATATTATTCACTGAATAGAGATTTGTAAAATTTATGTTTTGAATCCGTGATTTCACCCTGCGGTGAAAAATCCTGGGGTGAAAATGCCAAGAAAACAGCCATAAGCAGTTTTTTACTGGGCAGATTTGTTCAGAGCTAATAGTGCTGTATCAGTGGATATGGCCAATATACATAATGATGTAACTGGTTTCTATGTTTGGGATGGGCTGATACGATAGCTTACTGGATTGTTCTTGTCTTTAGCTATTTGTCAATCCTGAACTGAAATGTCTGTTTCATTTCATCAGATTCACATATTTAGGCATGGTTTGCATTTGAGATACAGCTGAAAGTGCACATGGATGCATGCTGATTGAAATTGAATCATTCCGTGACATTCTCTGTCGTATGATCAAGTTACCTACGATTATTAATTTGTATTGAACAAAGAGCAAAGGGCTGATTTTGGCATCGGATAGAGTTTTGTGGTATTGTTCTTTTCTAACGTAGTGTGTTTATTTAACTCATTTACCCCTGAAGACACATTTGAACTCTTCCAATGCAAAGGTTGGAATAGTTCATTATGAAATATCAGGGGTGAATGAGTGAATGGGTGAAGAAGCATAGTTTTAATCACTAGTAAGTGTCCCACAGGTAATTAGGTAGATATTGATTGGCTAATTCTGCACCATTGGTTTGACAAGGTCATCTACCTGTGATATCACAGCAATGTTTAAACAGCTGCTTATAAATCACTAGAATAAATATCTAAATAAATATTACAATATATTCCAAATATTAGAAATATTCCACAAAAACATCATAAGTAAATACATGATTGAAATGTGATCTGTACGAAGTGGAACGATCAAGACAAAATGTTGCATTGTTTATTTCATTCACCCCTGAAGACACATTTGAACTCTTCCAATTCAAAGGTTGGAAAAGTTCATTTTGAGATATCAGGGGTGAATGAGTTAAAGTATTTATTCTTCAATAAGCCCTGAGAGTCGCAACTTAATTTTTGACTCAGAATAGGGGTCCGGGCTTATAACAGGACAATGACATATAGCATTTGTTGGCAATTCTGTCGAACAGAAATAGACATTTACTGGGCTTATTACCAGGCATGGGCTTATTGCTGGATAAATATGCCTCTAATTCAGTATTGTAAATTTTGAGCAAGTTGTGTTTGGTTTGTCCCTTTCGAAAGTTCAAGACTGTTGTCAGCTGATCCAGATTTATTAAACAAGTTCTAGCATTATTGAATTAATGTCCCTTGTAAAAGAAATAATCAATACTAATTTTGCTTACTTTGTAATTTTGTAGGCTAACATATATCAGTTATCTGCTGTTATACAGAGGATAACATGGTGGTACATGATCATAGATTATTCTGTTACCGACGGAGCCAATCAAACTTGATCGAATTAAAGGGAGATAAATCACAATTACATCAGACGTGCCGTTTTTTGCGGAGACTAGAAATCTGTTTTTGATGCTGGTAATATGTCTTGTTTTACAGAACGTATCAATGTTTCAAGTTCCATTCTCAGTTTATATTTAAAGGTATAATATGACTGTTTTTCTAATCGGAGATCCCAGATTGGCCTCGAGCTACCTAAATCAGACCCAAGGGCAAAAGGCTGCAGGTTTTATGTATATTTATCCCATATAAAACCTATGTGAGGTTGATAATGTTTACAAATCTATTTACGCATGATCTCCACAAAATATGATAAGAAAAAATATATTAATATCTAAAGAAATTCTTCCAATTTCAAAGTGAATATTTATTTTAGACTTTTTGCACTGCATTTTATTCCATTTGATTTAAAACCAAGCAACCAAGAGGATTTTGAAATCCATGTCGAAATATTAGCCAACAGAAATAGTTTACGATGGAAAACCAAATAAGTGGAACATATTGCCGTTATTGTAATAATCTGAAGAGCTCAAAGATCAGGAATTTGTTATTGAATTATGTACTTTTTATTTGTAACTTATAACAGTTCAAGTAATAGTCCCAGCATACACATTACATAAGGTAACATACAACATATCGCCTCTGAAAAAATTGTAATTTGGTTACAATCTCTGGTTGAAAACAGAAAAAAAATATCACATCCTCAAATATGTTTTAAAGTCATTTCAAGTCTTTCCCAGTCAATTTATAACTAAATTAGGCTGAGCTTAATACATTGTATCCATGTTGCCTTGACCTAGTGCTTAGCAAATGAGAATTCCAGGCTACAAGGGAGCCAATTTTTCATAGAACTAATTTCCAACATGCTGGTATCCATTAGCATAGAGGGATAGATCTGGAACAATCATGGCAATTACATTACTGTTTCGTTCAAGGTCACACCATCTTTAATAATGGAGACTTAAGTCTATTTCAGCTTCTTCTCGACTTTGTCCCTGCAGGAAATCAAGTTTGTGGGTACATGGAACATTAGATGAATCCCAGCAAATTATAGAAGTATCAGCCTTGGTGACTGGTTACATTATTTTAGCCTTTAGCCATTGGGGTTAGTTTTATGCCAATTTATGATAATTCTCAACTGTATTTTGTCTTTGGTAACTTGATTTTCAGCCATATTTTGTCTGAAGTTACTTGATTTTCAGCCATATTTTGTCGGGGGGAGTTACTTCATTTTCAGCCTTATTTCGTCTGTGCTAACTTTATTCAAGTCATCTGGAGGAAACTAATTCTCAGTCGAATTTGTTTGGGGTAACGTATTTCTCCAGTCATATTTTGTCAGGGGTAATTTGTATGATATAAAAGATTATACAGAAGGGGGTCTCTCCATCTCTTCTAATATAGCTGGACTATATTATAAATTTTGTTTATTTTACAACAATTATGAAACTTGTATTAATCACTCTCGTTGACCTGGATGTTTGGGCACGGGGGTTGGAGAAAACTCATGTGGTTGGGCTTGTGACCCTCATACCTTTTCACGTCCGATCCGGAAATCGAACCCCGGCCCGCCTTGGTGATAGACAAGTGCATTATTCACTGCGCCACCCAGCCACCCAAACTAAACTGTGACAAGGAAGATCTTTTCTAAATCTTGGCTGATGTATAAGACTACAGAGAATTGAGTCTCTATATCTTGACAACAGACTTTTTGTCTTATTTGTTTTTTTTCTCCATTTTTTCATATATATTTTTTTTACAAGACAAGACATATATTGTCTTACTTGACAAGTCAATAACTTACAATATCACTGAACTGGTTTATTGGTTTGGATATATATTTTTATGTGGTACAATAGGTACTCAGTATGTATTTTGGGTTAATTGTGTATATTTATTATGTATACACAAGTTCGTAAATACCAGCTGACAGAACTGACCTTCCAATCATTGATATGATCTATGTAGCGATACCTCACATGGGAACCTGGGAATAAATTGGATTGATTATTGGAAATGGAATTGAGTCCTTCTTGTCGGACATATTTACCTAGCATTGCGGATTGTAGGATTGTACGAGCCATCGGGTATATATACACATACATGCTCTGCCATCCTCCCGGTGTTTGGTTGGTCCGAGATGATGTAGGCCTTACAGCTAGCTGGTACATGTTATATATGCAGCAGTCAGGGATCTTCCTCCAGACTCTCTGGACATTTCTTTTTACACAGAAACAAAAAATGTGCTGTTTGAGATTTTTCTGCATGGTAAGTACAGGAGGAAAAAGTTTTTATTCTTCAAAAATATTTGTATGCTTTGATGCAGAAGGATGAAAGTTTTTGAACTCTTTCTTTACCTCAGTGTAGTATAGTACAGAAAAAACTTCGTAATTGATCAATTGTGTTCGTTGGTAAAGAACTACCATAGGAAACTAGGGCAGAGATATATTTCTACCTCTTTTCCATGAAGGCCTTTGCTTTGTGTATTTGGGAAAATATCACACATA